CAGGAGGAACTCTTATTTTCCCCATCACAGTCCCCCTGTAACTCGGTGGGGACCCTCGTTTCCCGATAGTTCTGGACAAGTGGATCGAAAATGACCAGACATACCACAGTAAAGGCATCGTCGCTCCCTCATCCGTCTGTCCCTTTCACTGGGAGAGAGTCTGGAACGACCTAGCTGCATATCTTCTGGAGGCTCGGGAGCTTGTTCATTGACTGGGAGAAGTCTGACTGGTGGAGCATGAACTGGAGATGCAGGTTTGTGAACAGGAGTTTGGGACTGGGATGCTCTGCCTCGAGTCATTCTCCGTTCTCTCAAGCGAATATCAAGGCGAATGGCCATATCAATAAGGGATTCTAGGTCTTTGGCTGGTTCCCGGGTGGCCATCTCATCTTGAATGGATTCAGCTAATCCGCCCAGAAAGCAGACTCTTAAGGCCTCGTCATTCCATCCACTACCTGCTGCAATAGTTCAAAATTCAATGGCGAAGTCTGCAGCGCTGCGAGGACCTTGACGGAGAGTAAGGAGACGTTTGGAAGCCTCCTGTCCACTAACTGGGTGATTGAACACCTTCTTGAATTCCTTCTCAAAGGCTGTGTATGACTGGCAATAACTAGGCTGGGACTCCCATGCCGCAGAGGCCCAAGACAATGCCTTGTCAGTCAGAAGGGTGATAATATAAGCGATCTTTGAGCGGTCAGTGGGAAAACTTGAGGGCTGAAGCTCAAAAGTGAGAGAGCACTGGGTGAGAAATCCCTGACAGGAACTAGGATCTCCTGAGAATGGCTTGGGGGGTGGAAGTCTGGGCTCTGCAGCAGCTACTGGAGCTATGGGAGGACTGTTGGTACTTAGGGGTGGTGCAGCAGGAGAAGAAACCCCAGGAAGGCTTTGAAAGAGTTGCCGAATGGACGACGTGACATCAGCAAGGAGCTCTGAATGTTTTGTCATCACCTCCTCTTGACGACGGAGAACCTCTTCATGACGCTGGAACGAAGCTTCATGACTGCCAATCACTGCCAACAGATCTTTGGTACTGAGTGCCTCTGGGTCCATGTCTGACTCGGTGTTTCTGTTGCGACCGGGTCTTGAACCCGGGTCTCTGGTGTGGAAACCAATGTGTATACCACTAAGCCACAGAGGAAGTTGTGTTGGACTCGAACGAAAACACTCCAAGAGGGAATCCAGAAAACAAGGATTTATTAAAAAAAATATCAACTTAGGTTCTTCTCAAAAATGAGGTAGCAAAACAGAAAACTTAGGTTCTTCTCAGAATGAGGTATACAAAATACTCTAACAGTATAATAAACATGTAAAGAAAACTCCACGAGGGGAGAAAACAAACAGATAATTAATGCAGTCAGCAACAAGGAAAATAAAACACTCTTACTAGACGTAGCTCAGGAGATCAAGGGAAACGCAAGGCAAGTTCACCAGAGATGACACCGAGTGAGGAACACAGACAAAGTGACAGCTTAAATACACTGGCTGGAACAAGTCACAGGTGATCTAAATTAAGTAAACAAGAACACATGAGGAAGAACAAATACAGAGGGGAAACACGGGGACCTCTAGGGGAATGGAGACAAACTGCAGGATGGTGACAACTTTTACAGGAATTGCATGAAGCATCATTGGTGACTGAGATTGATTGCAGTGTGAAAACTTCCATGTCAGGGAAAGAGAAAGTAAGTGAATTTAAAGAGCGCCTGTTATGCATTATAAAAGGTCATATATTTTGGTTTTGCGGTCTTTATCAACAGGCTGATCTGCATGCAAGTTCAAAAACACTTTTATTATCCTAAAATATGCATTTATTTTTACCTAATTATCGCAGTGACTCCCATATGATTTATTCAGCGATTCATTTGTTTCCAAACCCCTCCTTTGCGTGAAGCTAATCTAGCAGTGATTGGTCTGATGACCCAGTCTGCTGTGATTTGGTCGACTGCGTTCAGCATGAGGCGGAGAGAAACACCCACCACGGTTATGAAGGAGCCACACTGCAGAGTATATGTGTGGGCACTATGGAGGAGTGCATTAAAGTATTGCAGTTAAACACCAACATTAGTAACCATAACCCCAAGTAATAACAGTGACAAACATTCAGTATTAATCCACACAGTGGCAAAAGTTGAACTATTCTGAAAATTGACTGCAGCTTATGTGTATAAACAGCTGATTGTGCCCATAGCAATGGCAAACAGCAGGGGATTGTGAGTTCAGAAACTCATTTAAATCGTTAAAGGAAGAAGCAGGCTTTGAGTTTTAAACATGGTTTGGACACAATAGGTAAACAGTCCATACAGATTTAACCTTGAGATACAGTACAAGCACTGATCTATAGTAAATACGTAATTACAAGCTGTGCAGGGTGATTACAAGTTACAACACACAATTAAATACATATTTTGCAAACTACACAAAATGCGGCAACTATTTTAATCACATCTACAGGTCATGATCTGGAGGAAGAAGAAATTGGTCCATATGAACTGTGAATGATTTATAATAATCACTCATTTATAATGTCGCTCGTGTAGCCAATAGGATTATAACAAAAACTAAGCACTGTGCTCAGCCATAGTTCATTAAGCTTGAACCTTTGGTTCATTGAGATCATCTTTAATATAAGATACTCTTTAATATAATATGACTTTCCTGAATTTTAAAGCCTGAATACAAGCACCACAACTAAAAGTCTGACACTAGGCTATAAACGAACTATACCATGATCGTCACCTCATCACCATCAACCTGTTCACTGTGAGATATTTCATGTTCAACAGCACCTGTAGTCTCATTTAGCAACTTCTTAGCAACCAGCTTTACAAAGACACCTAACAGCTTTAAAAAAATCACAAATGTGGTGTAACTGGTGTGTTTTATATCTTAGAATAAAACATAAATGTATTTTAAGTTTGAGTTAACCATACACTACATAATTTTAGGGATTTAACAAATATGCCATTCCAAAAAAATTACATTAAAAAGTTGGAAGCAGAAGTGGTAAAACACAAACTCGCTTCTGGGTTTTTGTCTACAGGGATATCATAGTTCCACCACTCTATAGGGGTCGGTTTGGTTATTTATTGTCTTTTTAGGCTCGTTTTATATCTGCATTCACTGCCTTTCTGACCCAATCTTATGCCTTTCCTTTTCATGTTTACTGCAGTTATGTAAAAAGTCATCATTGGCAATGATTGAATGTGGTTCGAAAAATTTCTACATCAGGGAAGGAGAAAGTAAGTGAATTAAATTTTCCTTTTTGATAAAGGCCAGGTTTCCATCTAAAGCTGCAAATGTAACTTGTGTGGAAAATTGAAATATTCCCAAAACATTTGTGAACAATAATCATTTGCATCAAGCTAGTTCGGACAATAAAATCATCACTTCACAAATCTTCTTGCCTCAATCCTGTGTTTCTTTTTTTCTCTTTTACAGAAATTGCATGAAGAGTCATTGGTGACTGGGATCAAATGCTGTGCGAAAACTTCTACATCTGGGAAAGAGACAGTAAGTGAATTTAATTTCCTTCTTGATGCTGACCATGTTAGAAATGGAGGTAGGGATGTTTTAGTACCCCTTTTTCCCTTCCCGATACTGATTCTTATACCTGAGCTCAGGGAATCAGCCAAAAGTAAGTACTAAACCGATACCTGAGTGGGTATCTGTAGAAACAGTTGTGTATAATACTAGCCCTGTTTATCCATTAATAAAATGGTACAAACACATACAGCAAACTAGGGTAAAGTTTTACAATATAACTGTATAAAAACAGTGCAAAAAGAGATATAAAAAATAAAAATGAATACTATAGAAAAATAACATCTTTGTATCTCAATATTCAGAAACTTAAAAAAATATAAAAATAAAAAGACACTTGTTGATTTTAAAGAAAATTTAGAAATTTATTGAGAAGGAAATATAGCCTAAACTTATCAACAACAGATTATATCATTGTCATACTGTATAGAATGCCCGTAAACAGTGTAGCCCGTAGACTAGTTGACGACAAAGTTTTTTTTTTTTTCCATTTAGATTGTTTCATCTGTCAAATGAAGCTCTGTTCTTTACTTTTATATAAAGTATAGGCCTAGGATTGCATTACTTTGCGTACATTTTTATAGTTTATAAAGCTATAAAATGAAAGTCTCAGTTTGGTGTGGAGTTATCATATGCATAAATCATTTAAGTCAATCAGCATTTGTTTGATTTGTAGATTAGGCTATGCAGGCTATTTTAGAAATGGATCTTTTATAAGGACTATTATTAACTGTAATTCTTCAAATGAAGAAAGGTTTAGCTATTTGTTGATTGTATTTATGATGTTGCCGTGTTGAGCACACTTGGAGCAAGTGAAAACCCCAACGCTTCGACTTCCACTTCTTCTTTCCACTGCTTCTTTCTCAACTTGTGCAAATACATGAAGGTGTTTATGATGCAGATCCAGGACAGAGGCAATCACCAATAGCCTTAGTTTGGCATCAACTTGTCTGTGTCAAACTGTGACAAGTCTTTTCACTATTTTCATTATGCTTCTTTTATCAAAATATGTCTGTAGGCACGTGTGGTTGCACATATTATAATGAGTTAACAAATAGCCCTATGTGTTGGAAAATAATAGTACATTTTAATTGTTTAACTAATACCATAAATTGGTTAAAAATGCATCCTTTCAGTTAACGGTTAAACGATTAATATGAATATCTCTAGTTTTCCTTCTGACCCCCATATTTGAACACATTTGTTGAATAGAGTGGTAGAATTATGATGTCACTTTGTAGACAAACCAGCAGTCAGCATCACGCTGGTTCCTTTGACAAAAAGCCAATAGGCAAATGTAACTTATGTGGAAAATTAAAATAATGCATTAAATGTTTCAGACAATCACTGTTTCACTCAAATGAGTCAAAGAGAATAAAATAATCTCTTAGCAAATCTTCTTGCCTCAATCTTGTGTTTCTCTTTCTCACTTTTACAGGAGTTGAATGAAGAGTCATTGGTGACTGGGATCAAATGCAGGGCGAAAACTTCCAAGTCAGGGAAAGAGACAGTAAGTGAATTTAATTTCCTTCTTGATGCTGACCATGTTAAAACCTCAAATCAGAAAAGATTGGCACAGTATGGAAAACGCAAATAAAAAAGAAAGTACTGATTTCTAAATTTACTTTGATTTGTATTGAATTGCAGATAATCCAACAGACATTATTTAATGTGTTTAATAAACACATATTCCAATTTTGGTTCTTGCAACATATTTAAAAAAAAGTAGTGACAGGAGGTTAGGGCTGTCATCAGATAAAATGGTTAAATGATGTGAAGTGAAACAGGTTAAAGAGGACACAGGTACTGGACTGGCCTGTCTGCAGTCCCGATCTGTTTCTAATAGAGAATGTGTGGTGCATTTCCAAGCATAAAATGCAACAACAAAGACCCCGTACTGTTGCCCACTTTGACTTGTTTGCAGTAAGAATGGTACAAATTTACACATGAAACACTTCATCACTTGCTGTCTTCAGTCGCTAAACATATTTTTAAGTGTTGTAAAAAGGAATGGCAACATTACACTATATTTTATTAGCAATTTCCATACTGTTTCTGATTTGTGGTTGTAGAAGGACGGTTGACCATCATTTTAGGCTGTTTTTCCTGGGCAGTTTTTCTCAAAAATGTTATTGCGATGACTCTCTTTGAGTACAATATACCCCTCTTTGTTAATTTATAATAATGACTAGTGTATTGGGGGATGGGCATGACATGGTCATGAATTGTGTGGACAGTTTGGCCTTGTGAGGACACCTATGTTTTACACAATTGATGAATAGAGTTAGGTCTGTAATGAGTTCACTGTATAGTGTATTGGGGGATGGGCATGACATGGTCATGAAATGTAAGGACAGTTTGGCCTTGTGAGGACCCCTATATTTTACACAATTGATGAATAGAGTTTGGTTGGTTATGAGTTCACTGTATAGTGTATTGGGGGATGGGCATGACATGGCCATGAAATGTAAGGACAGTTTGGCCCCCATGTTTTACACAATTAATGAATAGAGTTTGGAGTTTATGCTAACCGTTGGCTCTCTTGTACAAAAACTTAAATAACAAATCAAATGAAATTGTAGATGTTGTCCATGCATTTTTCATCCATTTGCTTTTCCCTAATGCCTGAAATTGGCCAGGTAATAGTAGTTCATTAGTTAAGTGTACTTACTTAGCAAGCTTTCTGACCCAATCTTGTGCCTTTCCTTTTCACATTTACAGGAATTATGTGAAGAGTCATCAATGGCGAGGATCAAATGCAGTGCAGAAACTTCCACATCAGGGAAAGAGACAGTAAGTGAATTTAATTTCCTTCTTGGTATGAGCAGAGTTTCTATCCAAAACTGCAAATATAACTTCTTGCAAACAAAATAATTTCCTCTTTGACAATGACAATGCTAGATGTAGAAGGGTTAAGTGCCATTTTAGGCTGTTTGTCCTGGGCTGTTATCTCAAAAACGTTGTTGTGATAACTCTATTTGAGTAAAATAGACCCCTTTCTAATAGGGATATCAAATTCCACAAAATCCTGTGATCCATGATCATTTAAATTAGCGATAAATTATCAATTAATCATTAATTACCACTCCATAAACACAATAGATAAAGTTTGGAATGTTTTGAAGTATTAAAGAAATCACCCAAGCATTTTCCATTTGGAGACTTGCAGTAATTAATACCTTAGTTCTTATAAATAGTCATTTATAACATACATAATTAATGAATTTGTTACTGAAGAATAAAAACAATACACACTATGCTCTTTGCATAAAGATCACTGCAAAATAAGCTTAGTGCTTATTTTATGTATAAACTATAAATATAAAAAATAAAGAAATTAAGTAATGGAACATTATATGTAAAAAATCTAAATGTATATACAGTAGTAGGCTAGGCTAAATAAAGGTGCCTTAAAGCTTTTGTGAAGAACAGACTATATATGATAGGTGACACAATCTCAATAAACACTTGGTGCTTGATCTCATATAGGCTACATTATTTAAGGACATTCGATACGACATTGATAGGATCTGTTGATGTCAAACTTATGTTTCCTTTTTAATTTCCTCTGTAATGCTACTATTATCCCTCATCACCAGTAAAATAACCAGCCTTTGTATTTCATATATTTTAAATGTAGATTTTCCTGCCAGTTTGATGCAGGCAAATGAAATTTAGGCAAATCTTACTTGTTACTCTTTCACCTGAACTCGCCACGAGTAAGATGGAGAAAATGAAAGCACATCAGCATAGATGAAAAATCAGATGCTTAAGACATAATCTGTAAAATAATGACTTATTATAAACTTTGTTAGTTTTAAAGTTTGTAGCAAATATAGTACAGAGGTTTGGGATAAACCAATTACAGTAGAGCATTAATTAAATCCTTATTTTTCAGGGAGTGAAACAAATCAACCAATGCAACAGGCATGAACATAAATGTACACTTCATATATTTTTCTTGAAAAATAATGTACATTTTTGTTGGTCAGTTATCTAGAAAATAAAGAATAAATAACATTTGTGGTGAAGTGTTTCAAAAGAAGTACTGCTATTCAGACCCAAAACACAATTTTTTTGTTAAATAAATAAATACAATAATAATATAAATAAAATTCAAGTAAAACATTCTCGTTTCAGGGAAGCCTACATTAAACTGTGTTCACGGTTAATGACAAAATAATCCATTGCGCTGGCCATTATGACTTTAATTCATTTCATCAAGTAATTTAAAAGAGCAGGACAGACTTTACAAGCTATTCTGAGCACTAATTGTGTTCACAGATTACCTTGAAAGAACAAACTCGGTCTGAAGGATGAGAGAACTCAGAAACTCATTGTGAGAATGGAGAGGCTCACCGCATGTCGGGCCGTGATGCACGATTTTTAAAATTAGAGTCTGCATGCATCAATTCATGCCAGTCTGTCAGATGAAATTGCTTAAAACACCTTAACATTTTAAAGAAACTAGTTAAAGTTTGCATAACCAATGATTGATCTTATCCACCCGTGACCCACTCATAATTAAACATCACATAGCCTACTTTTTGATTACCTGACTCAGGAAGGCAGCACACACATATATAACCAATCAAAACAGGGTTATATACATCCACCCCACAGAACATAAACTGCACACACTCGATTATTTAATGTGTGAAGTCATGGACGAATGTCTCGCAGCTCAAATCATAACTTATCCTTTAATGTCCATGCTTAATCGGTCATCGTCAATAAGGTCTGTCGATTAAACAGGTTACTGACAATCAATCGATCAGTGAGTAACTGTTAGCATCCCTACTCTCTATTAATATATAATAATGACTAGTGTTTTGGGGGATGGGGAGGACATGGGCATGAATTGTGAGGACAGTTTGGCCTTGTGAGGACCCCCATGTTTTAACACAATTGATGAATAGAGTTTGGTCGGTTATGAGTTCACTGTATAGTGTATTGGGGGATGGGCATGACATGGTCATGAATTGTAAGGACAGTTTGGCCTTGTGAGGACCCCTATATTTTACACAATTGATAAATAGAGTTTGGTCGGTTATATGTTGGCTTATTTTACATTTGACAATAAGATTTTTGTCCAACATGTACAATAGAGATGCACAGATCAGCTGAAATGGCACCTGAATCCGCAGCTTCAACTAATTAGGGTTGTGACGATGAGGAAATTTCCCCACCGGTTAATCGACATGTGACAACACCGGTAATACTGGTATTTTTTTTCTGCTTTTTCCTCTTTTCTTTCAGTTTTGCGGGAATTGCCAATTCGGCGTCTATTGTTTGAATGGACAAAAAGGAAGCTACAAAAAAAAATTTAAATCACTGTTATTAAACAACACAAAATTTTATTAACATAACGAATAAAACACAACAATGCTACAGGCTGAAAAAACTGGAAGTTGGAACCATACAAATAACAACCATAAACGCCTATATTAACAGCTTAGTCCTTAGTCCTAAAATACATTATTAAGGAATCTATAGGCTATTGAAGAATAAACCGAATTTGAAATATGATCCTTGCATAATGATCACAACTCAACAAGCTGGCACTCATTTTATATATAAACTATAAATAAAAAAAAATAATAAAAAATGTTAAGAAATGAAACATTATGTAAAAAAATTTAAAGACTACAGGCTAAATAAAAGCGCCTTGTCAGAGCTAAACATCAGCGCACACGTGTCAGTTTACAGCTTCTGTAAAGATCAGGCAGCCTATACAGATCACACAATATCAATAAACAACATGTAAATGTATAAATATTTCGATAAGTATTGTTATAGAATATTTATAACTTATGATCTTGCTTTTTGGTTATATCAGTACCAGCTTTGATCTCTCTTTAAAGCTGCAGTTACAGGCGCTGCATAAGGGCGTCTTACACTGTCAGTGGCGGAATACACACTGCACTGGCAAGACGTTTTATTTTTATTTTATTTGTTGCAGATTTGCGTGTTGTTCCTTTTTAAAAATATATATTTTATTTTTAAAATCTCTCAAGTTAATGTTGTCTATCGAGTAACATAATCTCCCTCGGATTGGAGTTCGGTGCGCAGTAACATGGACCAACACCACCCTGTAAGTTAACACACTGCATACTGTAGGTCCACAGCTCTGGTGTGGTATGAATTACATGTTTTATATGTTTATATGTATATATTAATATGAAAACACATTACAACAAACTAGCCACCCTTTGATTTTTTTTCGTTTACGTATATTTTTATCAAACGAAAAATGCAATGAATAGTTTATTTTGGTTTTCATTTTATTAGAAACAATATCATTTAAAGGCTACACAACTCCTCCATGGCTCCAATTGCGTTTTGACAGATATCCTAGATAGACTTTCTGGCTCAAAGACATTTATGCCTGTTAATTTCAGCGCTGTATTTTGACAGATTTCGCAAAGGCTTCAGCTATTCTACCTGTCAGCTGGTACCAGCTTCAGTTTTGTGACCAGACTCGTTAGGCATCTGTGTCTAGATGACAGCGAGAGAGATGAGATCAGACCTCAGATTCAGTAACTGAGACGTGTGGCCGCACGTCTCAGTTACTTTATTGCAATTTTTAATATTGGCTCATCTAAATTAACTTTTCATTTATTAAAAGCCGAAATATTGCCAGACAGACGAAGCAACTTTCGGTTTTTGAAGAGAGCATTCTCAGTGATAAAAGACGCGCACACACACACAGGTTAGCCTACACTCTTGTCGGCCTATTCATTGTTGATTGTTGCTCACGGCTGTTGCCGCGATTGTTGCTTTGTTTCTCTGCAGTTGGCTTATTAATGGCGCGGCATTGCTAAATCACTCTTGTTTTAATAAAAAAAAAAAAGATAATTTATTAAACATTGTGAGATGATGGTTGCGTGATTTTTAAAATGAGATTATGCGTTGCGTATTTATGGCTATTGATCTTATCTACCCGCGACCCGCACATACATTAGTTGAACATCAAGTATAAGTGTGTTGAAAATGAGTGTATAAATTAGTTATGTTTCCTCCAACTGCTGCTACCTTTGTCAGGCACAGTTTGCAGATTGCCTCATTAACGTCTTCAGGTTCTCTTTTTGCATTTGGTTTGAACCCAAAATATAGCCAAACAGGCGCTTTTGCATTGCGTTTTGACACTTATCCGTCCGCCATTCTTTCTGTAAATTCGACTCCTCTCGTTCTCTTAATGTGATAAATGAAGTATGACGCATTGTAGCTATGTTCAGATGATAATTATAGAGCATGCTCTCGTCTTAAGTAAATTATTTAGAATTATGTTTCCCATTTAATTCAAATAAATATTTAAATTAAAAAAAAAAAAAAACCGAATACTTAAAAAAAAAAACAAATGTGGGGACGGTGTCACGGTGAAAAAGTCACCGGTGTTTCGTCTTAAAACCGGTATCACCGTCAACACTGTCTATCGTGGCAAGCCTAATACTAATCATCCACCCGCCACCAGTTCACACATATAGTTTTATCTGATATATGTATCCGCACCCGATCGTCACTTTAATAATTTAATTCTTTGTTTTAGACATGATGATAGGTCACCTTGGATATTAACAGCAGATTCATTGAGCTATAATCTGCACATCTATGATAGTAAAATAATATGTTAAGCGTTAACGTTTTTAAATGAACATTTATTTATAAAAACAAAAGTTTGTCTTAAGACAACATTTTCTTCATTTTCAAATAAAACAAAGTAAAAATAAGACCTTTAGCTTTTACAGATACAGGAACAAGATAAAAAAGGGTGCCACTTCAGTCTAAACAGCAGCTAGGTTATGTTTACTTGGCCTTTTTCTTTGCACTGTGCAAAAACAGAATAGCATCTACTGTGCCTGGATTCGGGAGATTCCGCCTCGCCTCCTAAAAGCGGCTGCAGCACTGAATGAGCGTTCGTTTGCACCACGTGTTGTAAGAATGAACAAGATTCACCTCGCAAGGTGCTGCAGTCGTGGAAAAAGCTTGTTTGTCCCAGAGCGAGAGCATATTTTCCTCTGATAACTCTTACTGAAACTTTGAACAGCAGGCTACTCTTGCACTTCATCCATTATTTTGGGCGTCTCACATGATTATTCTGCAAAGCCCACTCTGCTTTTTTGCTGGTCCACTGCCATGTCCTGCTACATCCACCCGCAACCGACCCGCAATTAATCATAATGTATGTTTTTATTACCCGACACGTGGATTATCTGCATTGCCCGCTGATATAACCGCAATCTGTGCATCACTAATGTACAAATTGTTTTGGTATTGATTTGAGATTTTTGCGTCAATAAGGTTTACCTGATGTGCACACTTTTTAGCCTGGACATGCTTTTAATTTAATAATAACTGCAGCAACTTTCAAGCTGTCAAAAGGAAGTATTCAGTAAGTTTTTAATTTAACAGGCATATCATTTCATGATTTTTTTTTTTGCTTTACAAATTGATGCATGCATATAAAAGTTGTGGTATGTTTAGCATGTGAATTGGATTTTAATAAAAACTTTCCCTCTGTACAGTTTCGCCATGAAGTACACAGTGCTGTTATTTCCAGTTTGCATTCTTGCGATGATTGTAGTGGTCCTATGTTAAGTAGAAAATGAAGACTTCAACTTGCAAATGTAAGTATTTATGTCACCAATAATTAGCGTATAAATTTACGTGTCATATTTTTTTAGTCTGTGTACTTCAGTACAATATGGATTTCTCATGTAATTTCTAGATATTTTTTTCTATTTTTTTTTCTTCCATCAATTCACTATTTGAAAGCCATATCCATTTTTTCACATTTGTTGTTTTTAAGTAAATAAAAGATTATATTAATGAATAAATTAGTGTCAAATTAACATAACCTTACTAGGATTAAAGAAAATATTTTAATTTTAAGATAAATTAAATTCAGTCTTATAACATGCATTAATTTTACAAAAAACTACAAATTTAGCATAGTTGTATGTTGTCCTAAGTAAATTAAAATATTTTACAGCACAACAAACACTATAAATTAAATAAAACACTTTTACAGGTGCTGGTCGTATAATTAGAATATCTTCAAGAATTTTAGTTATTTTATTCATTTCATTCAAGCTGTGAAACTTGTATAATGTATACATTCATTCCACACAGACTGATATATTTCAAGTGTTTATTTCTTTTGATTTTGATGACAACTAAAAACGAGAAATGAAAAGTGTGTAAAAAGGTTAAGTATTGAAGACACCTGGTGCCACACTCTAATCAGCTAATTAACGCAAAACAGAGCTCACAGAGCACTTGGTCCAAACACATTAATAGAGAGGCGAAGTGAAGGAAAAGATGTGGTAAAACAAGAGTGTACAAGCAATAGGGATAACTGCACCCTGGAGAGAATTGTGAAACAAAGCTCAATCAAACATGTGGGGGAAATTCACAAAGAGTAGACTGCAGCTGGAGTCAATGCTTCAAGAACCACTATTCATAGATGTATGCAAGACATGGCTTTCAGCTGTCACATTCCTTGTGTCAAGCCACTCTTGAATAACAGACAGCATCAGAAGCATCTTGCCTGGTCTAAAGACTGGACTGATGCTGAGTGCTCCATACTTATGCTCTCTGATGAAAGTACATTTGGCATTTTCTTTAGAAATCAGGGTCCTAGAGTCAGGAGGAAGAGCGGAGGGGCACACAATCCACAGGTGTTGCTTGAAGTCCAGTGTAAAGTTTTCACAGTCAGCAATGGTTTGGGGTGCCATGTCATCTGCTGGTGTTGCTCCACTGTTTTCTCTGAGGTCCAATGTCAACGCAGCTCTATACCAGGACGTTTGAGAGCACTTCATGCCTTCTGCTGCTGACCAACTTTATGGAGATGCAGATTTCAATTTCCAACAGGTACCTGTCCATGGCACCTGCACACAGTGCCAAAGCTACTAGTACCTTCTTAAAATAAAAATCGCCTACCTTAACCCCATAGGAAATCTATGGGCTATTGTGAAGAGGAATATGCGGTATGCCAGACCCAACAATGCAGAAAAGCTGAAGGTCACCATCAGAGCAACCTGAGCTCTCAGAAAACTTGAGCAGTGTTGAACACAGACTGATCCACTCCATGCCACTCTGCAGTCATTCATGCTAAAGCAGCCCACACTAAGCATTGACCGCTGTGCACGCTCACACTTTTCATCTTCATACTTTTCAGTTGCCAAAGATTTCTAAAAATCCTTTCTTTGTATTGGTCAGAAGTGATATTCTAATTTTCTGAGATGCTGCATTTGGGGTTTCCTTTAGTTATCATCAAAATCAAAATAAATAAAAACTTGAAATATATCAGTCTGTGTGGAATGAATGTATACATTATACAAGTTTCACAGGTTGAATGAAATTAATGAAATAAATCAACTAGGGATGCTCAAAATAATTGATTAACCGTTAACCGAAAGGCTGCGTTTGTGACCGATTAATGCTATCAGTTAAACGATTAAAAATATTATTTTATATATTTTTAGTTTGGCTGCATAAGGGGCCGATTGAATGCGCCTTTGCGTCAAGAAGGGCATCTTTTGCACGCGGCTCATCCCAGAGCAGCAGTTTGTGTTGTCAAGACAGCTACAGAGAACTTTTAAAGAGCTTGGTTTCCCCTACATTCATTCTTCAATGGCGGGGACCAAAATGCATCCCTCCACGGCTACATTACCCTTTCAAAACATTCAGTCGTTGTTGTTTTTAATAGCGGATTATAATCGCACCAAAACGTATTAAAAGGTAAGTGAATTATAACAGCGTAAACTTTTCTGTAACCGTATAGTGCTGTGTGCTATCTGTTTAATCCTTTGGCGTTACGTGCTGACTAACTGACAGGTGCGCGATGTGTGAGGCCAGCAAACACGCAGAAGCTTTCAGTTAAGATGAACACAGTTTCTATAGTTTATTTATAGATAAAGTATGACTTTGTACATAATCAATCTATCTTGCTGGAGTTTTACTTCAGGACGCATTAACACCGCTCTGAAGGTCTAATCGCTGTTTTAAGTTATCCAGAGCTGTATGAATGTAAAATCTTGAATATCATAATATTATTAAATATTACAATTGTAACAACTCAGACAGCAACACTTATGCACAATCGATACCCAGCTGATTCAGTCGTTTCATAACATCACCGTGCTTCTTTTCTTCCTTTTTCCTTGTCAACATAAAGGCAGTGAGATGCGCCTTGTTTTTGGCCCCTTGTTCAACTGCAAGACATGCTTAACTTGCGGGACGACAACGTGTAACCCGTGCCTACAGACACATTTGCCAAAGAAGCAAAATGGAAGAAGAATATTGCTGTTTGATCGAGACGTGTTGATGCTTAACCAGCGCTGATGTTGACTGCGTAATAAATGCAACAAATAGGCTTTACCTTTTATTTGACAGCTTATAGAGTATGTATGCACATTAATGCAATATCATATTTAAACAACAAAACTGTTTACAAAAAGTCAACATATGCGCGCGTTGTTGTTGTCTTTTTATCACGCAGCGCGCACTTGAACCGCGAGAGAGAGGAAACCATATAGCAAGACATAGTCTTTAAAATAATGATTTCTATAAAAATGTAAAAGGTTTTGTGATTATAATAATAACAGCAAGGCATTAAATAAATGCATATTTTCCGTGGAGCAAGCAATTTGAGGAAGTCTGCGATTTTTATTTGACGAAAGAAAAAACATATGATTGGGAAAAAAACTGCCTATGCCGGTTATTAAAAAGAATCAGTCAGTATTTTTGTTTTGTAATATAAATTAATTATTTAAGTGGAAATAATTTAGGGCAGTCCTATTTATTTTATTCATTTTATTTAGTTTATTCTGTTCTTCTGTGCTAAACACTACAGGTGCGTGAAAATGCTCTATTGTTATGTTCTATTATTAATATGCTGGCATGTTAAAATAAATCATTATTTTAAAATGCAATATTTAATGTGTCAGACACAAAATAGACACGTCAATTTGTTTAATATAAAATTAATAGTAATCTAACCAGTTAACCGTTAACAACCGATTAATGAGTGGCGGTTGTCGGTTAGCAAAATTAACCGAAATGAGCATGCCTAAAATCAACTTTTTGAAGATATTCCAATTAAATGACCAGCACCTGTATTTAGCAGAAGAAATACACCAGTTAGGCAGCACTAAGGAACTGCTCTCTTATTGAGTAGGATGCAGAAAGCTTGCACTCTGATTGTAAAATAAGTCTTTAGTTTTTTTTTTTTTTTACAATGTCGGTAAAAATATGTATTTTTGTATATTTGTGTTTTTCTGTTGCAGACACCAAATCAAGGAAAGTTATGATAAAATTATGGAGCACACTGAAGTGGATGCAGTCATGGAACATTTTAAAAGGACACCTCACCACAAAAGCAGAGCGTGATCAATGCAAGATAGCAGAAGACAAAGTTTTTTTCCCTCTCCGCTGTCGCGACCAGCTTGCATGGCTTGGGATCGGTAGAGCTACACATCGATGAATTTGCTCTTTAGTGTTTGAACTCTCAGTAATGATTTAAATCACACTGAACTGAGCTAAACTGAACTGAACTTAAACACTAAAAACTGAACTACCCTGATCCAGTTACTATGACCATTTATGTAAAGCTGCTTTGACACCATTTACATTGTAAAAGCGCTATACAAATAAAGCTGAATTGAATTGAATTAAAAGAAGAATGTCATGTACACCAAGGATGGCATTACAGTAGGGCACAATGCCTTTTCCCCCCCTTAGTCCTTCCCCTTACCCCTACCCCTTGTTTTGCGCGTTCACGTCAAGGGGTAGGGCTGTCCCAATTCTCTTTAGCTTGAAGGCGTTGGGCTAAGGGGAAGGGGTGAATAGCCCTTTGAACAAAGATTTTTCAGGTCCACACTTGAAACCAAGGGGTAAAAAAATTTCCCACAATACACCTGCCACAGCTGCACCCAGAAGTAAGGAGAATTTTTATTTTTTTATTTATTTATTTTTATGACAAACAAACATGATTCAATATATTCATAACTACGTTCATGTTTTACTGTCATAGTTTTCTTTTTTAACGCTATAATTTGCAATCTATAATCCATAATAATCACTCCTTTGCAGCAGTCCCACAACATTCTGACACTTGATGACACTGGAATACCCTGCCAGAAAAGTATAGTGTCTGTGATGAGCTGTTTACAGTGTCTGCTATGATGTTAGTGTGGTTTTCGTGTGTTTACATAGATGAATATGGCCACTGTGTGTATATATACAGTAAAGTTACAATCTTATTGCCACATTAGATCATTATGATAACATGATGTGCCTTCAGTGATTTCCTCAAGATAAATATCAAAAAATAACACAACTGAAATAACTACAGCAGTTGCGATCATCTGATCTCATATGAAGCATAAAATTACGATGACATATGCTGTCCCAATTCTTATGGGTACATCTGAAGTCCTTTCCTTTAACTTTTGGTTGTAGGGGCCAAGGGGAAGGGGTAGGGGTACAAAAATAGAATTGGGATTGGGCCTAAATCAGTTTTAATTTTTTGGTTGAACTTTAAGGGGCAGGACCCTTAAAAATGCTGTCATTAAGCTGTTTTTTTAAGCCTTGTTGAATAAATGCATTTGAGACAGTGATTTACAGTTACAGGTTTTTTTATCTACCTATCTATCTCTCCCTCAGTCTGTCTGTCTGTCTATCCATTAGCTAGTCCAGTTAAACACTAACTGTCCTCATAGTCCAGTGTTAGCAATGTGTGTCGGTGTGTATGAGTAAAGTCCAGTTAAACACTAACTGTCCTCATAGTCCAGTGTTAGCAATGTGTGTCGGTGTGTATGAGTAAAGTCCAGTTAAACACTAACTGTCCTCACAGTCCAGTGTTAGTAATGTGTGTCTGTGTGTATGAGTAAAGTCCAGTTAAACACTAACTGTCCTCATAGTCCAGTGTTAGCAATGTGTGTCGGTGTGTATGAGTAAAGTCCAGTTAAACACTAACTGTCCTCACAGTCCAGTGTTAGTAATGTGTGTCTGTGTGTATGAGTAAAGTCCAGTTAAACACTAACTGTCCTCATAGTCCAGTGTTCGTAATGTGTGTCGGTGTGTATGAGTAAAGTCCAGTTAAACACTAACTGTCCTCATAGTCCAGTGTTAGTAATGTGTGTCTGTGTGTATGAGTAAAGTCCAGTTAAACACGGAATGTCCTCATAATGCAGGATTGTTGCTGTGTGTTTGTAACACTCATGGCTGTCCTCATAATGCACGATTGAGTCAGAAACGCCCACTTTTGCCCTGTCCCCACAACGTTGTAGAATGTCAGGTCTTAATATTTCCAGACTCTTTCACAATAATGAAATTCTGAATAGACAGAGTTATTCCCCATGCAATATGGAGAAGATTCATACATTTTACTAAACTGTAAGACAAAAGAAAAGGTGGGTCCCCATATCCCATGATGGTACTTTTTTAGGAAAAAAGTCCCAATAAACCACTCGTACCAGTATGTGTGTGTGTGTGTGTGTGTGTGTGTGTGTGTGTGCGTTGGTGCGACCGGACTGTTGGGACAAAACACCTGAATACATACCGTCACTATGAGCACACATCGTAACTGTTGGAACAGCGCTACTGTCCCGATAAGTCGGGCGGCAAACACGTGTTCTAACATGCGTGACTTACTACCTCCCGCGTTTTCTCGTTATGTCCTAATGTTTACGGTGAACCCGTTTTTCTGTGTGTATCAGTGTATGCTCATTGTGTATAATCTCCCACTATCGTCCCTTTCCTGCTACTGCTGCTCCATACACATTAGAGCACGTCACAGTCGCGTTTCATTGGTCTAGCCGCAGAACTCCTCGCCCGCGATTGGCTGGATTTTTATCGCCTTTCATTGGTCGATCAGCGGAATCCCCGTCAGCGATTGGCTGGATTTCATGTCAATCAATATCAACCCGCTTCACGTTTCCAATTGGCTGCCGAAGACACGAGAGGTAGACCTTTAATTCCGCCGGAGTAAAGCAACTACGAAAGAGAACTATTTGTGCATTTTAAAGGTATGAACTGCTTATTTACTGTATATTTTGTGCCGTGTGTTAAGTTAACTTTAGACATTGTGTGCATGACGAGTTAGTCAGGGTCATATCACTTAATGTGCGACATCATTAGCAGATATAGTGTCCGTGACCCAGTTTGTTTATATTATATTCGCACGTTCGGACTTTCCCCTAATACTATAATTTTATAAATGTATTATTTGCAAACTTTAAATAGCGAATGATTATTAGCAGCAAATGACTATCAATGTACAACATTGTTCACAGTCAAATAAACAGTGTTGTTGTTTTCAAGTCACCCATGCTAATGCCAATAGAATATTCAAAGTAACATGGTAAACAATATAGAGACTTCTAAATGAATGACTGTGCAAATATAAAACCAACTTTACCTCTGTCTTGATTGAGGTAAAGATGGTTTTATATTCATACATTCGTTCAGTGACAGCTCCATACATTGTTTACCATGGTACTTTGAATATTTGGACTGAAATCACATGTACAGTAAGTATGACTTCAAAACAACATTAGCACTATTTAATTGACTGTGAACAATGATGTACTTTGATGGTTGTTGGCTGTTAATATTTTACTATTTAGAATTTCCAATTAATAATTTTCTGAGATTATATTATTAATGAGAAAGACTGCATGTGCAAATATAAAACCATCTTTACCTCTATTTAAACTTGAGCTTGTCCACTGTAGACTATTTATTATTATTGTTATTATTAGTAGTTGTAGTAGCAATAGTAGTATAATATTATTGATAACATAATAATTGTTATGGTGTACTAACCAATAACAAGGTGGTCAGGATGTCATTAGGGACACTTTTAGGAAGGGAAGTAAACTGTGTCATATATTTGACAAAAGATTAAAAGGGAAAGGTTAGCTTAACATCACAAAATATTCAATATTAGGTTAGTACTTTGTGTTTCAGTCAGGAATGTTTTGACTATGCAGTCTTTTCCACAGCATCGATGCTTCACAAAAGGATGGATAACTGGGATGCCGTAATGATGATCACAGAAATCCGAAATGAAGGCAGTAGTTCTGTTTCTGTTTACTACAAGGAATATCTTTCCAGATGAGGAAATTACCCACAACTATGGTGATTCTTCTTGGCCATGGCATTCAAGGGTGAGTATGTGCTCTCTTTAAGACTGTTTTCTATTATCAGAGGACACGTTTGTTGTATTGTGTTGTGGATTTCATTTATTGGTTTATTTTTTGATGTTTCAAATTACTCTAAAGAAATAACTTCATTGCTTGTGCATGTTTTTATACTTTTGTTCTATTCCTGATATGCACACACAATAGTTGCGTATGTGACAGTAGATAATTACACTTTGGTTGTTATTGTTTCTACTTATATTAGTAGTGGTAGCCACTTTGTACATCTTCTTCAAAAAGATTAGCAACATTAAAAAACATGCACATCATGAAAAGAGAAAGTGAATACAGTCTGTATTGAAGAGAAAGTAAGTTAACACTTCTTAACATGATCTGAGTTTACATCCAAAACTGCAAATGTAACTTATGTGGAAAATTAAAACAATGCATTAAAACATTTGCAAACAATCACAGTTTCCATCAAATGGGTCAAAAAGAATAAAATCATCACTTTGCAAATATTTTTTGCCTTAATCTTGTGTTTTTCTTACTCACTTTTACAGGAATTGCATGAAGCGTCATTGGTGACTGAGATTGAATGCAGTGCGAAAACTTCCATGTCAGGGAAAGAGAAAGTAAGTGAATTGAAAGAGTGCCTGTTATGCATTATAAAAGGTCACATATTTCGGTTTTGGGGTCTTCATCAACAGGCTGATCTGCATGCAAGGTCAAAAACACTTTTATTATCCTAAAATATGCATTTATTTTTACCTAATTATCGCAGTGACTCCCATATGATTTATTCAGCGATTAATTTGTTTCCAAACCCCTCCTTTGCGTGAAGCTAATCTAGGAGTGATTGGTCTGATGACCCAGTCTGCTGTGATTTGGTAGACTGCGTTCAGCATGAGGCGGAGAGAAACACCCACCACGGTTATGAAGGAGCCACACTGCAGAGTATATGTGTGGGCACTATGCAGGAGTGCATTAAAGCATTGCAGTTAAACACCAGCATGTCGCTCTATTCGTAACCATAACCTAACCCCAAGTAATAACAGCGACACGCATTCAGTATTAATCCACACAGTGGCAAAAGTTGAACTATTCTGAAAATTGATTGCAGCATATGTGTATGAACAGCTGATTGTGCCCATAGCAATGACAAACAGCAGGGGATTGTGAGTTCGGAAACTCATTTAAATCGGTAAAGGAAGAAGCAGGCGTTGAGTTTTAAACATGGTTTGGACACAATAGGTAAACAGCCCATACAGATTTAACCTGAGAGATACAGTACAAGCACTGATCTATAGTAGATGCGTGATTACAAGCTGTGCAGGG